GAAAAATATAGATGAAAATACCACCATTAATATTGCAACTATAAAAAAGATTCAATTTGTCAACCACTAAAGATACTAAATGATATTAAAAACTAATTACAAAAATTACACTGATAAATTTTTAATTAATTTTATTCCGCATAATTAAAAAAAAGCAATTATTTAAATACTTGCTAGAAAATGATTTTGAGGATATTTATTAATTAGCCTAACGATGACAAGCTCGGGTAACAATTAGCTTATAATTCGATGACCAAAATTTAAATCTAAATTAAAAGTAGGCTATGGGATTTCTTACAATTAGCATAATATTTTGTAATTACTATTGTTACATTATATTATTTTATTACATTGAAAATAGAAATAAATTACTAGAAATTAATAAAAGTAAAATATAAATATTATTTACATATAAACTCCGTGATATACAAAAAATATTAAAAAAAGATCTTCTACATCATATGGTGAGCACGATAATAATTTTTATTAAGCTTTTTAATTAAATTAATTATACAATAATTATAAGTTATTTTATAAATTATCACCGGCAATCCTCATAATTTCATTTTGTTTTCTCTTTTGATACCATTTATAACCAAGTATTCCAATTATTGTTAACATTGCGGTACCTACTATTCCGCTTAATGTACCGATAATTACATCAGTTTTATTTGGTGAGACCGAAACAGTTGTAGTTGCAGTTGTTGAAGGAGTATTCGGTAAATTTGTATTTGAAGGAGTAGGCTCATCTATACTTTTAGGTTCAAATTTATTAACCCAAATATAGTTACTAGTGTTTCTAATATCTAACAAGTAAATTTTGTTTGACTGAGAAATTACTGCTAATCCATTTGGATGAATAGGACGACCTGTATATAATTAAATAAATTATTTTGCTTATTAGATAGTCAAAATAGGAATGTTAAATAATACGTATTAGAAATATTTACCAAAAGCCACAATAACATAATCTCCAACTAAATTTGCTGTATGATAACCTAGTGATGGAAATTCATCAATATTTGATGATAGTTGCGGTACGGACCATTCAAACGGACTCGTTTGAGTATTTAAAACAGCCAGATCTGGTGTGGCTTTAATAGAATAACTATCACTGCCTTTTGACCCACCATATATAATTATTTTTCCATCTTGAACTATATAAAATTAATAATATGTTAATTATGCATTAGAGTATTTTAATAAATAAAAACAAGCTATACCTAATAAAGCTGAATGACCGTAACGGGATTCAATTTGTCCAATATTCCTTGCTCGCTAAAACAAAATTTTATTAATTATCAAATATATTGAGTTAAAAATTATAATAAAAACTTATAAACCTACCATTACCAGCTGTCAAGTTTAGTATCATAAAGGTACATTTGGTTAATATCTACTTCTCGAAATATATTATCATTTATTATTTCAGAGCCTCCAATATATGCAATCATACCATTTGATAATAATGTTGCAGTATATGCATTTCGTTTTGAAGGAGCATTAGCAATAGAGCCATATGACCACGTTAAATCATTAGTACTTAAAATTATCATATCGTTTAAACGTTGTATGGTTTCCATAATAACTCCACCAAAAATATAAATTTTTCCAGTATCATCAGCGACAGCTTGAACAAATGCTCGTCTAATTGGTTCTGTTCCTGAAATTAAGGGTGCACTCCATTGTCCGGATTTTGGATTAAATGTTTGTACTAGTGAGGTAACAGATTTATCAAGTTTTTCACCAAAAATAAGGTATATGGTTGGGTTATTATTTTTATCATTCAATGCAACAGTAGTCGCCCAAATTATTCCAAAACTTATTCCTGAATTTAATGTAAGGTCGGTCCATAGCGGAAGTCCCGAATCAAATCGTTGAGACACATCAAGATAGAAAACTTCATTTGAATAAGTACTTCCATTATATCCACCAAAAAAATATAGTTTATCTCCAATAAGAACGGATGAATGCCCATAACGTCCTACAGGAATAAATGATTCAACACTGGGAAACAAATAAATTATGAATATGAAGCATAATTTATGTAATTTATTATATTTTTTGCAAGACATAATTCAATTAATAATTTATTTCAAATAAAATTTTTTCTGATGGAATTTAAATTTTATTATAATCCTTTATTTATTAAATTTTAACATTACACTGCATTTTTGTGATTCACGCCTACCTTACATTTTGATGATAAATGCACGACAAATATCGTGTAACATGAATTTGTTCAAAAAATATTTGTATCAACTACTTGTACCCTTGTAAATTAGGGGTAGATCGTACTGCGCCTCAGATAACCTCACATTGCGGCGAATATCATGTAACATTTGTATCGAACAATTTGCTTTTTATTATATGTATTCTATAGTCTACTTTTCATTTCTTATATTATATTATTTAGTTTTCATTACATGTATTATTTATTATTATCAAAAAGCGTAGTATAGTAATAGTTAGAAATAGACCTGTAAGTTGCCTTAGTTTTTTAAGTTATTTAGTTTGTTAGCTTAGTTTAAGTACAATTCCAGGTTTAACACCGGTTATAACAATTCGGTTTTAAATTCGGGTCTAACCAATTTTGAATAAATCCGGTTGCATGCAACCAGTTGGAAAACCCGGTTTTCGATTTACCAAAAATAATTAAGGTTACAGCTAATTTCAAAAGTCGATAAAAAAACTCGGTATAGAATTTTTTGAAGAAAAAAACATTATCGCTACTTTCAGATCGTGTTCCGAAAATAGCGACATTATTTTTTTTACCCATATATAATGTGGTTGGCTTTTTCAAATCCTTATAAATTTTCTCGGAAAAGTCTCGGTCATTATCGGCTGTCCCGTGACTTATGAAATAAGCTGTAAATAATACTTTCGCTATTTTCCGTCCGGTTGCAAAAAACCAAATTTGATTTCACCTAAACATCTAGAAGCCATGGCATTCAGCAAAGTTCTTTTTTGATTTGACGACGCCTATAGGGACCAAAAAATTTGGTAACATTGGTAAAGAAAAAATAAATAAATAAAAAAGATAGCAATTACCTATAAGTAACTTCATTTCATCATGTTGTTATGAGAAAATTTTAAACTTGTTTATTCCTGCTACGAACTTTATAAGATCGACATTGAGATTATAGAAACTGTCCAGCTAAATTGTCCACTTGCCAAATCGTCCTCTAGGTATTTTGTCTTTACCAAAATTTAAAGATATGAACGATGGGTTTTTCTTGAGGAAGTAGATAAATATTTCATTTTTTCTTTCCAATAGGGAAATAGTTTTAGGATAGTTAGATCACTGGCGTTAAAGCAACACTTGATTTATAAATAAAATTACATAATACTTGCCTAATATAAAAACCTTCTTCCTTTGTTTATAAATGTAAACGTAAAAAAACTGGACGCAACCCTATTTATAAAATTTTTCGAACGGTTATTTGTTTAATCTCGATAACTGGTAAAATATAAAGAATTAATCCCTAGATTTGGCCCTGGAAGAGACCATCTGGGGACATTTCTAAAATGTATTTTCACCCATATTGATCTGGTATAAATTATAAGGTTAAATACAGGTCTTTTAACAGGAAGACGCCTCATATACGACCAAAGATATATATATATTTATTTATTAACTATTCCAAGTTTTTGATAATCATAGAAAAAATAAATTCATCAAGAAAAATAAGCTAATAGATACCTTAGATAAGATTGATCAAGTTTTAAACAAAGAATGATGTTTTTTTTAATGTGCTGCGCCCTTTACGTATATATTATATGCTAAGGATATGCAAGCAGGAAGGTTTTAATATTAGGAATTATGATGTAAAAATTATTTAATCAATTTATCAAGTGTGCCTCAACGTCAGCGATCTTGTGCAATTCGGTTTATAAATAAATTTTAATTATTAAAACTTCAATATAAAATTTATCGAAAAGTATAATCGTGAAAAGGAAAGGAAAGGAACATGTTTTGAATAAAAAATTAAAGAACGACCTATCTGATTCCCTCCAAAAAGCTCATTATTTATAAGGACTATTTGACCGGAGGGCAAATTTCCAAAAATAATTCCAGAAGGTCTAACTAATTTTGACACAAACAAACTTCTTAAACGAAATTTTTGTCTCGAAATTCTTGTAACAGTAGCTTTATGAACCTTCTTCATTCATACTTATTGATAGTAATTAAAAATAATATTGTACTTACACTTTTGATTGTCCATTGTGTCTTCCGCAGCCGATCAATTTTTGCGATCATGAGCAGCAGTAATAATATTTCTATGACGATGGATACGTATATGATATAAGAGACACAATGGTTTAATCTGTCTAAAACGTCTAGCTGGACATGAATTACTTTATATACATATACATACCAACTGATTTAGCGTTCACACGGTTTCTCTAATTCGTGACCAAAAATTTACTTTATCGATAAAATCATATATCTTAAGCTCAAATTAGCAATTGAATTTGTATCGGGTATTTGGCAATCATTTATGGTTTAGAATGTGTGTATAATATGGATTTTTTTTCATACATGTATAATGTTAGAAACCATACAAGTACGAACTATTTGTTATTTAAAAATCATACATGTCAATTTTTAAAGTATATATACATACATTAAAAAATAGAACCATACTACACATACATTCGAAACCAAAATATACAAGTTTGTGTAATACTCCTTTACATCGCAGCTTCAAAGTTCCGTTCCATGAAAACTTTTAAATTTTTAAAAATAATAATTTGAGCTCATAATGTTTATAAACAGAAAGTTTACTATATGAGTCCTGCTTTAATTAAAATTAAATTGCAAAACTAAAATTAATACACCCTTCATTATTTTGTGCGTTAAATAATATTTGTGAGGCATGTCAATTTGATTAGACAAACATAAATCAAACGTTAAGATTCAAGACGTCAAAATATTTCACATCCGGGACTTGGAACTAAACTTTTTTATTTTTATGTTCGACAACTTAAGGCTGTTCCTAAGTGTTAAAGCTAGCAGAGATTCTATTACTTTTTTTTTTTTTTTTTAACGCGGTAGACATTTATGTGTATCTCTTTGCATCGAATCACTGAACGAGACAATTTAGTTGTTAGTTTTAAATTTTGGTGTCACCTTTGCAGCAATAAGAACCATTAAACAGGTATTAACCCGTTGATCGAGTTTACAATAATTGTAGGGAAAGAAATTTCTATATGAATGCATCCCACTTCTCTCCAAAACTCTACCGGCAGCTTTTGTTTATTTTGATCATAAAATATTAAGAAAAGTATCACCCATAATAACAATAAATGAATAAGAAAAAAAAATTTGAGGATAAATACGTTATCCGTTAACTAAAATTTCTTCATACATACATATACTGTTCATATTGTACAGTACTTCTATTAATATATCAAAAGAAGTGGAACAATTTTAATTCCTTTTTAAAGTATTTATCAACGTTCAAAATTTCCTAATCATACACATAAAGACTACATATTTTTCTTACAAAAGCATTTATTAAATATAACGATAATCATAGATTACTTATTACAGTACGATTTACAATGCGAAAATACATAATAATCCTGCGTTTAATATAAGTAGTTCGCATGTTGTTTACTCCAAGTATCATAAAAGTGATTAATAACTTTGACCAGAGGTAGGAATAACATTTCTACGTCGATAATATCTTGCCAAGAAAAAAGCACCAGAAATAATAACAAAAAACCCAAAAGCAGAAAATACAGATAAGATAATTAAGATATTCTGTGATAAAGATGATGATGAGGTGGGTGATAATGATTTGATAGGTGATGGTGATGGTGATGATATTATTGATGGTGCTTTATAAGGTATAAAATCTGTGACAATTTCGTACGTATCTTTATTCTTTATATTAATCAGATCAATTGTATTCAATCTAACATGTGTTAAATTCCGCCCTGTTATAAAATAATAATTAATAATGATATTTTAAATAATTTATTAAATACAAAAAGCAATACATACCGAAAGCAACGATCAAATAATCTCCGACTACGTGTGAGGTATGGTAGATTCTCATAACAGATGACGGATTAAATAGTTGAGGAGAGTACCATACGAACTCATCACCATCGTACTCAAGGACTGCGAACGTGGGAGTACTTCCTGATTCATCATCACCGTCAAAACCACCATATACAAAGATCCGACCATCAGGTGCTATTATTATAATGAATAACTATATTCAGTTCAGTATCCAACAAACAAGCGATAGATTACAGCTTACCTATAGATGCCGTATGGCCTGTCCGTGGTGATGGAATTATATCATTTGTTTTTGCATTCTAAAATGGAAGATGTCTATCTTAATAACCAAATATAAAGTCCTACAATGAATCAACCTATTTACCTTTGTATACCATAATGATACTTTTGTGTTATATAAAAGGATCTGATCCATAGGAAGGTTTATTGTACCATCAGAACCACCAATGTATGCAATTTCACTTGTATTTAACATAACAGCGGCATAATAATTAAGCTTGTGAGGCGCGATTTTACCAGGATTCCAAAAATTATTCAATACATCATAAATATACATGGTTCCATTGTCAAATAAGTAGATGGTTCCTAAGTTTCCATCTGAAATACCGACAATTTTGGTACTAGATTCAATTGGCATCATAATGCCACCATTAACTTTTGGTGTTACGGAGCTCCATGCTTGTTTCTCTGGGGAATATCCGTATATAGGATCTCCAATAGGTTCTATTCTATGACCACCAAACAAATAAATCATTCCACCCTTTGCACTTTTCGCATACACAAGTGTATGAGCTACGCTCATTATAGGAACTTTTGCGTGAACTTCATATTGCATATTAGTTGTAGAAAATGGAACGCTTAAATCGAAAGAAAAAAAATCATTTGTAAAAATGTTTTCATTTTCTTTTCCTGTAAGACCACCTCCAATATAAATTCTATCTTCTGCCATTACGGAACCATGACAACAACGTATAATTGTTGGTTGTGCAACCGCAACCGTTATAATCAAATTAACAATGATTATTAATTTAATAATTAGCGTAGTCATCTTCATTAAATCACGAAAAGGTTAAAATTTTTATTTTCGATTTTAAGTATATCTTTTTCTCGTTCACATTTATCCTGAGGAGTTAGAAACGAATTAAAAAGAAAATGAATATCCTGAACAGAATATGGCGTTAATAATTGTTACACATTTCTAAGAACACTTGAACACACTGCAACTAAAGGAGGCACATTAAAACCTTAAATAGTAAGATAATTGAGCAAAACATAAGCGGCCCGTTGATGTAACCAAGAAGCTTGTTGATTTTCATCATGCATCTTGATGTTTACATCACGCGTGTTTTACATTGTAAAGTAATTTGATAAGCAAATAAATTTTTTTTGTGTTACAGACAGCCAATAAACACTAATTTCTGTATACAAAGTTATGAATAATAAAGAAAGTAAAGAAAAGATTATATTTCCTTGGAATCAATTCAAATGTAAAATTAATTTTAGAATCGATTAATCATTTGGGAACTTTTCTATTAAAATCGAGTTATGAACTTAGTAAATCATATGATCCGTAACGTGATTTTCATATATTTCTCGAAATTTAATTCTAAAATTCAATTTTCAGGATCAATAATCGATTTTATTTATAATGCAACAATTTTATGAATGCTGAATAACCTATAAAATCTGTTATTTACCAAAAATCATTTGCCAAAGTTTTCTTTTTAAACTTATTTTTTTACTATTTTCTATCTTCTTTTTATTTTTTTAATTAGCTATTTTAATCATTACATCTTTCTTTTTTGAGGATTGGATTGCTTTTAATTATATTAATTTATGTCTTATTTTTATTTTTTTTTTATTTATATCTTTTCACTTTACAGCTTCAGCATTTATTTCTTTTTTATTGATATATAGTTAAAAAAAAGCTACTTATCAAACTGGAAAGGTGAAATGTAAGAAATGGGTTTTACGCAAAACTAAAATTACACAGTCGCCGTGGTAAAACTGCGTAAAAATATCATAAATTTGATGTAAAAAAAGATCTCCTGATGAGCCCTTCTAGAATTAGTAATTTTAAACTTCAAAATTTTTTTAAGGGCCGTTTAACATCCTTATTTTTTACAAATGTGAGGTTGATAGAAAAAATACAATTACAGACACAGTAAAACTT